GTCTATGTAGACGACCTAGTCTTTGCTACAGCAGACAGAGACGCGCTGACCTCCGTGAAGGCTGAGCTGCTGAGGCGACACACCTGCACTGACCTGGGAGAGCTGCGCCGCTACTTTGGCCTGTAGTTTCCAGGGACAGAGCAGCGTGCACCATCACTCTCACACAATCACACTTGGTGCGCCAGGTCCTTCAGAGGTTCGGTCTTCAGTTCTCCTCCGCACAGCCCACACCTCTACCGGTAGACCACAGGCTCTCAACTCTAGTTCCCGAGGAGTCAGCAGTGCCCAATGGTCCTTACGCAGAGCTGGTGGGTTGCCTCGTGTACCTGATGACTTGCACTCGCCCAAATCTCCCATACGCTCTCAGCATCCTGGCCCGCTTTGTGGCCACAGGCAGACACCGACCATAGCACTAGTCGGCCGCTAAGTGGGTTTTGCGTTTTCTAGCAAGTACATCGGGCATGGGGCTAGTGCTGGGAGGATGCAGGCCAGTGGTCCTTACTGGACACACAGACGCTTCTTGGGCAGACGACACTGAGACCCTCCTGTCCTCCCACGGCTATTGCTTCAGCCTTGGTTCTGGTGCCATCTCGTGGAGGTCCATTCGCTCCTCGTCTGTTGCTCAGTCTAGCTGCGAGGCTGAGATCTACGCCGGTGCCATGGCGGCACAGGAGCTCTGCTGGTTGACCTTCTTGCTTGCCGACTTGGGTGAGCGGCCTTGCTCTACCCCGGTTCTGTACGCAATGTGTGTACAGTTTTACATCAACCTTAATGAACATAGAATGCGTCGTGTCGTGGGGTCGTGATGATGCAGCTTGGATCATTACGGCGTGGTACAAGTAAACGATCGAACCTCCTTAAGATCGATCTCCGGATTAGTTGTTGGGCATGCTCAAATGTAACGCAACTACAAGAAATTATTTTAATGAATGAGAGTATCGAGGATCGATGTTCCTCTGACGCGAGATCGATCGTCAAGATGACGAGTAGGCAACACACACGGTCGATGTGCACCAGATGACAATCGATCATGCATTGGCGAGCCGCTTGGCTTTCGCATGGCGGGATTTTGGCGAACGCGGAAAAAATGCCACGTTGAGATGAGATGTTTGCTGCAACCTGGAACGCGACAGTTGCACAGCTAAAATGGGATTCTGCTAGTTTCGCGAATTTGCGACTCTTGAGTTTTTGTCGTGATCGCAGGTTTGGGCGGCGGCGCGCTTGGTTCTTGCTGCCCAACCAAGCTTGACGATCTTAATATCGATGCCTGCAAACCGAGTTTGTGGTCAAGCATGAGGCTCGATGTGTAAGATCGATGTATACCCGCGATCCGCGATCTTCTCTACTTATACCATGCCCTCAATACTATATCAGGATTTAGAATAGGGCTTACTTTTGGTTTTTAGTCACCCTTCAAAAGTTGGGCTTCTTAATCTATTACCCTTAGTTTATAGGGTTCAGCAGAAAGCAGCCCTTAATCATTAGGGCTCGTTCATACAGTACCCTTTTCACTGCCACGGTTAGAATCTACCCGGAGATGTCTGGGCAAGGCAAAAAGGGCGTGAGTAACGTGCACGAGGTTGTGAAGGGAGAAAAAATGAAAAACCTTTAAGTGAGTTGTCTCCCTTCTGTTTGTGACTACGAGGTGAGTAATGTGCTGTGAGGGGAGAAGAACGAAAATCTACGAATGGAATTGTCTCCCCTCTGTTTGTAAGGGCAAAGTTAGACCGCGTGTCAGGCGGTCGGTACAGCCCTACCTGACACCTGAAAGCACAAACTGCCCTGGTGTCAGGGTAGTTTGAAGCGCGTGGCAACATTTCCCGCTCTCAGAAACTGATAAACGTCGCGTCTACACGTCAATTTGAGCGTCGCATGTATTTACAGTCCAACTGCCGTGAAACAAGCCGAGCCAGTAAGCATTCCTCTCGACCTTGGTCTGCGACAGCTGAAATGTGAAACAAGGCTCGACGCCCAAGCGTCGGAAGGGTTGCGTAGTCTATAGATTTCCAATGTGTAGAATCTTAAGAATAATATAGTTGGTATGACGTTTAAATTTACATTTCATATTAAAGTTCATAATTGTGTAAGTTGTGAGGAATAAATTATTTGATTGGGAATCAAATTTTCTCGTAATAATATTATAAATGATTATATTTAAATAATGATATATATGATACTACAAAGAGTATATATGATTCTTTATGGTCTGGATGGGAGAAAATATACAAATGTAATTTATATGGTATTACAATGAGCGCGTTGAGCACAATACATGCTTTTCACCTTTGTCTAGGTCACATCAAGGGTTTATTAATATAAATATATACATATACTGATATAATATGGATATTAATCTAATGATATTCACATACTGGTTTTCGCATAATGATGGTTTTGACGTATGTATTATATTGACATGAATATACTTATATATTGATTAAATTAATTTAAGTATATATATGTAATGATATCATGCTTATATTCATATAATGATTTTGACATTCTTCTGTAGCCTCATCATTATAGCATTAGGCTATAACACGTTGGATTTGGCATCCAAGCACGTGACGAAGCCGAAACTACGCAAGAAACCTGCTTGTTCCTGTTCAATGAATTATTGACGAAACATTCTGAAGCCTAATCATTACGGGGTGAGGTACCTCAAGTATCGCATGTGGTGTCACAAGCTGGTACCAGCTTGAAATCGAAACCGGCAACTACAGTACCTGAGAAACCTGACTACAGTACCTCGTGTTCTGTACAGTACAAACAACAAAACGCGCATCGGGATGGGGTTTACGTTTCTTGCTTCGTCGTTCCTGTGCGTTTCTCCCTTCCTCCTCCCACGCGTTTTTTTGTTTCCTGCTCCTCGTGCGTTTCTCGTTCAGAAATTCATTCATCTAGCTTTTCAGCTTTCCTCACATTCCTTCTCAAAAGCTTTCCAGACTTTCAAGTTTCCATCAGCTTATTTACCTGGTAAGTGTAGAACTGCTAGGCGCGTTTCCTTAGAGCTGGCGCTGGCGCTGGCTCTAGCGCTAAGCATTTGGCGCTGGTGCTGGCGCTGGTCGCACTGGCGCTGGCGATTTGGCGCCAGGCGCTGGCGTTTTGGCGCTGGCGTTTTGGCGCTGGCGCTGCCGCTGGCGCTGGCGTTTTGGCGCTGGCGCTGGCGCTTTGGCGCTGGCGCTTTGACGCTGGCGCTGGCGCTGGCGCTGGCACTGGCGTTTCGGCGCTGGCATTTTGGCGCTGGCGATTCGGCGCTGGCGCTGGTGACTTGGCGCTGGTCCTGGCGCTGGCGCTGGTACTGGCACTGGCGAATAGGCGCTAGCACCGGCGCTGGTGCTGGCGAGGATTCGTCGTCCCCCTCCTTTCCTCCCCCTTTGCCGTCCCCCCTCCGTTCCTACCCCTTTGTCTTCCCCCCTCCGTTCCCCCCCTTTCTCGTCCCCCTCGGCCCCTCCCACTTTGTCGTCCCCCTTCCGTTCCCTCCCCTTTGTCGTCCTCCCTCCGTTCCCCCCCCCCTTTGTCGTCCCCCCTCCGTCCCTCCCCCTTTGTCGTCCCCCCTCCGTTCCTCCCCCTTTGTCGTCCCCCCTCCATTCCCCCCCCTTGGCCGTCCCCCCGCCTTTCCTTCCCCTTTGTCGTCCCCACTCCGTTCCCCCCCCTTGGTCGTCCCCTCTCCGCCCCTCCCCCTTTTGTCGTCCCCCCTCCCTCCCTCCCCGTTTGTTGTCCCCCTTCCGTTCCTCCCCCTTGGCCGTCCCCCCTCCGTTCCTCCTCCTTGGCCGTCCCCCCTCCGTTCCCCCCCCTCGTCGTCCCCCTTCCGCCGCTCCCCCTTTGTCGTCCCCCCTCCGACCCTCCCCCCTTGCCGTCCCCCCTCCGTTCCTCCCCCTTTGTCGTCCCTCCTCCACTCCTCCCCCTTTGCTGTCCCCCCTCCGTTCCTCCCCCTTTGCTGTCCCCCCTCCATTCCTCTGCCTTTGCTGTCCCCCCTCCGTTCCTCCTCCATTGTCGTCCCCCCTCCGTTCGCCCCCCTTGGCCGTCACCCCTCCTTTCCTTCCCCTTTGTCGTGCCCACTCCGTTCCCCCCCCCTTGGTCGTCCCCTCTCCGCTCCTCCCCCTTTTGTCGTCCCCCCTCAGTCGTCCCCCCTCCATCCCTCCCCGTTTGTCGTCCCCCCTCCGTTCCACCCCCTTGCCGTCCCCCTTCCGTTCCCCCCCCCTCGTCGTCCCCCCTCCGCCGCTCCCCCTTTGTCGTCCCCTCTCCGACCCTCCCCCTTTGCCGTCCCCCCTCCGTTCCTCCCCCTTTGTCGTCCCCCCTCCGTTCCTCCCTCTTTGCCGTCCCCCCTCCGTTCCTCCCCCTTTGTCGTCCCCCTCCGTTCCTCCCCCTTTGCCGTCCCCCCTCCGTTCCTCCCCTTTGTCGTCCCTCCTCCGTTCCTCACCCTTTGTCGTCCCCCCTCCGTTCCCCGCCCTTTGCCGTTCCCCCTCCGTTCCTCCTCGCTTTGTCGTCCTCCCTCCGTTTCCCCCCTTTTCTCATCCCCACTCCGCCCCCCCCCCTTAGTCGTCCCCCCTCCGTTCCTCCCCCTTTGCTGTCCCCCCTCCGTCCCTCCCCCTTGGCCGTCCCCCTCGTTCCTCCCCCTTTGCTGTTCCCCTCCGTTCCTCCCCCTTTGCTGTCCTTCCTCCGTTCCTCCCCCTTTGCTGTCCCCCACCGTTCCTCCCCCTTTGCTGTCCCCCCCTCCGTTCCTCCCCCTTTGCTGTCCCCCTCCGTTCCTCCCCCTTTGCTGTCCCCCCTCCGTTCCTCCCCCTTTGCTGTCCCCCCTCCGTTCCTCCCCCTTTGCTGTCCCCCATCCGTTCCTCGCCCTTTGCTGTCCCCCATCCGTTTCTCCCCCTTTGCTGTCCTCCCTCCGTTCGTCGCCCTTTGCTGTCCCCCCTCCGTTCCTCCCCCTTTGCTGTCCCCCTCCGTTCCTCCCCCTTCGCTGTCCCCCCTCCGTTCCTTGCCCTTTGCTGTCCCCCCTCCGTTTCTCCCCCTTTGCTGTCCCCTATCCGTTTCTCCCCCTTTCCTGTCCCCCATCCGTTTCACCCCCTTTGTTGTCCCCCCTCTGTTCCTCCCCCTTTACTGTCCCCCCACCGTTCCTCCCCCTTCGCTGTCCCCCCTCCGTTCCTCCCCCTTTGCTGTCCCCCCTCCGTTCCTCGCCCTTTGCTGTCCCCCCTCGGTTCCTCCCCCTTTGCTGTTCCCCCTCGGTTCCTCCCCCTTTTGCTGTCCCCCATCCGTTTCTCCCCCTTAGCTGTCCCCCCTCCGTTTCCTCCCCCTTTGCTGTCCCCCCACCGTTCCTCCCCTTTGCCTGTCCCCCCTCCGTTCCTCCCCTTTGCTGTCCCCCCTCCGTTCCTCCCCCTTTGCTGTCCCCCTCCGTTCTCCCCCTTTGCTGTCCCCCTCCGTTCCTCCCCTTTGCTGTCCCCCCTCCGTTCCTCCCCTTTGCTGTCCCCCTCCGTTCCTCCCCTTTGCTGTCCCCCTCCGTTTCTCCCCCTTTGCTGTCCCCCTCCGTTCTCCCCCTTTGCTGTCCCCCCTCCGTTTCTCCCCCTTTGCTGTCCCCCTCCGTTCCTCCCCTTTGCTGTCCCCCCTCCGTTCCTCCCCTTTGCTGTCCCCCCTCCGTTCCTCCCCTTTGCTGTCCCCCTCCGTTCTCCCCCTTTGCTGTCCCCCTCCGTTCTCCCCTTTGCTGTCCCCCTCCGTTCCTCCCCCTTTGCTGTCCCCCTCCGTTCCTCCCCTTTGCTGTCCCCCTCCGTTCCTCCCCTTTGCTGTCCCCCACCGTTCTCCCCTTTGCTGTCCCCCCGTTCCTCCCCCTTTGCTGTCCCCCTCCGTTCCTCCCCTTTGCTGTCCCCCTCCGTTCCTCCCCTTTGCTGTCCCCCTCCGTTCCTCCCCTTTGCTGTCCCCCTCCGTTCCTCCCCTTTGCTGTCCCCCTCCGTTCCTCCCTTTGCTGTCCCCCTCCGTTCTCCCCCTTTGCTGTCCCCCCCGTTCCTCCCCCTTTGCTGTCCCCCCTCCGTTCCTCCCCTTTGCTGTCCCCCCCGTTCCTCCCCTTTGCTGTCCCCCCTCGTTCCTCCCCTTTGCTGTCCCCCCTCCGTTCCTCCCCTTTGCTGTCCCCCTCCGTTCCTCCCCCTTTGCTGTCCCCCCTCCGTTCCTCCCCTTTGCTGTCCCCCCTCCGTTCCTCCCCTTTGCTGTCCCCCTCCGTTCCTCCCCCTTTGCTGTCCCCCTCCGTTCCTCCCCCTTTGCTGTCCCCCTCCGTTCCTCCCCTTTGCTGTCCCCCTCCGTTCTCCCCCTTTGCTGTCCCCCTCCGTTCCTCCCCCTTTGCTGTCCCCCCTCCGTTCCTCCCCTTTGCTGTCCCCCTCCGTTCCTCCCCCTTTGCTGTCCCCCCTCCGTTCCTCCCTTTGCTGTCCCCTCCGTTCCTCCCCTTTGCTGTCCCCCTCCGTTTCTCCCCTTTGCTGTCCCCCTCCGTTTCCCCCCTTTGCTGTCCCCTCCGTTCCTCCCCTTTGCTGTCCCCATCCGTTTCCCCCTTTGCTGTCCCCCTCCGTTCCTCCCCTTTGCTGTCCCCCCCCCGTTCCTCCCCTTTGCTGTCCCCCTCCGTTCCTCCCCTTTGCTGTCCCCCCTCCGTTCCTCCCCTTTGCTGTCCCCCCTCCGTTCCTCCCCTTTGCTGTCCCCCTCCGTTCCTCCCTTTGCTGTCCCCCTCCGTTCTCCCCTTTGCTGTCCCCCCTCCGTTCCTCCCCTTTGCTGTCCCCCCCGTTCCTCCCCTTTGCTGTCCCCCTCTCCGTCCCCCCTTTGCTGTCCCCCTCCGTTCCTCCCCCTTTGCTGTCCCCCTCCGTTCCTCCCCCTTTGCTGTCCCCCCCGTTCCTCCCCTTTGCTGTCCCCTCCGTTCCTCCCCTTTGCTGTCCCCCTCCCGTTCCCCCCTTTGCTGTCCCCCCTCCGTTCTCCCCCTTTGCTGTCCCCCTCCGTTCTCCCCCTTTGCTGTCCCCTCCGTTCCCCCCTTTGCTGTCCCCCATCCGTTCTCCCCCTTTGCTGTCCCCCCTCCGTTCCTCCCCTTTGCTGTCCCCCTCCGTTCCTCCCTTTGCTGTCCCCCTCCGTTCCTCCCCCTTTGCTGTCCCCCTCCGTTTCCCCCTTTGCTGTCCCCCTCCGTTTCTCCCCTTTGCTGTCCCCCTCCGTTCCTCCCTTTGCTGTCCCCCCCCGTTCCTCCCCTTTGCTGTCCCCCTCCGTTCCTCCCCTTTGCTGTCCCCCTCCGTTCCTCCCCTTTGCTGTCCCCCCTCCGTTCCTCCCCTTTGCTGTCCCCTCCGTTCCTCCCCCTTTGCTGTCCCCCTCCGTTCCTCGCCCTTTGCTGTCCCCCCTCGTTCCTCCCCTTTGCTGTCCCCCTCCGTTTCTCCCCCTTTGCTGTCCCCCCCCGTTCCTCCCCCTTTGCTGTCCCCCCTCCGTTCCTCCCCCTTTGCTGTCCCCCTCCGTTCCTCCCCCTTTGCTGTCCCCCCCGTTCCTCCCCTTTGCTGTCCCCCCTCCGTTCCTCCCCTTTGCTGTCCCCCTCCGT